CTCTCTCTCTCTCTCTCTCTCTCTCTCTCTCTCTCTCTCAATGCTGCTATTGGGCCTTGAACTCAGAGCTTGCATGCTGTCCTCCCAGGTTTATTTGCACCAACTTTTTTTACTAATGTTCTACAACTTGACAGCTCCACTTCCGGAGTTTTGCTGTGTTATTGGAGATAAGAGTGTCTTGATTTTTTATCTGGGCTGTCTTCAAACTTCGATCCTCAGATCTCAGCATCTTGAATAGTTAGACTTTCAGGCACAAGCCCCCAATGCCCTAACTGTATCCTCTCTTTTGAAGTAAAGTTGGAGAATCCAAAACCTGGGGACAAAGCTGAGCAAAGCCGGTCACTGGTGGCTCACGCCTGTAATCCTAGCTACTCAGGAGGCTGAGATCTGAGGATCATGGTTCAAAGCCAGCCTGGGCAAGAAAGTGGGTGAGACTCTTATCTCCAATAAGCCACCAGAATACCGGAAGTGGCGCTGTGACTCAAGTGGTAGAGCACTTGAGCTGAAGAGCTGAGGGATAGTGCCCAAGCCCAGAGTTCAATCCCCATGACTGACAAAAAAATAAAAATAAAAAGCTGAGCAAAATATTCCATTAGAAGCTGCAATGAAAATGAGACAATAAATCAATAACTTGTTAACACATCTCGGTGTAGTCGAAAGTGGTATTTTTAACATACAAAAGGATCACAAACCTGAAGACCTACATAATATTAAATAACATTCACATTACTATGGATCAGTTTGTGAACAAGATAGACATAAACATTGACTATAAATAAGGTAGCTGTAGCCATTGGAGGGAACTTGTGCTGGTTAACTGAGAGACCCAGAGCTCTCTAGGCAGAAAGCCCGTTTAACAAGCATGTGTATTGATTGAATGCCTACTATACATTTTCCCTCTGGTGGATGCTTCCTGTTTGCTAATTAATTTAACCCTCACAGATACCCTACTCAACAGGTTTTGCCACTCTCATTTAGAAAATGAGGAGCATTAATTATCACAGAGCCTGCTCATGGACACAGAGCTAGTACCTAACAAGGGTTTGAGGTTCAGTGATGGGGTACAGCCCCATGGCCTGCGCTCTTTCCACTTGCTCACACCTGATGGTGTGAACACCAAATGTTGACGTTCTTTTCAAAGTACCTTCCGGAACTACCAGTTAATCCTTGTATATTATTCAACCATTTTATTCTTTTGTACTTTTAGGAACAGAGGAAGTGGTACATTTATTTTTTTATTAATCTGTTTTATGCAGCCACTGCATTGCTTTATCCTATTGTGTACTTATAGAGAATGACTTGTTGCTTTTGTGACCAAGACTTTGCTCTTCCCACAGGTGACCTGTACATAGGAGGAGTGGCCAAAGAGACATACAAATCCCTGCCAAAACTTGTTCATGCCAAGGAAGGTTTTCAGGGATGCCTGGCATCTGTAGATTTAAATGGACGCCTTCCGGATCTCATCTCCGATGCCCTTTTCTGCAATGGACAGATTGAGAGAGGATGTGAAGGTACAGATCTCTGCTAGCACGCTCCCAAACAGTTGTAATTCCATCTAAAATAAGATTGAACCTCACCAGCCAGCAGGGAAAGACAAATCTGTAAACTAGTCAAACAGGCATAGAGGGCATAGAATTTTTAACTTAAGGTTTAAATTTTCCATTTCCTAAATCTTGTTTTCTGGACTACTTTTAAGCCTGCACTAATATCCAGTGTAAAAGGAGAGCTATCATTGTAGATCTTCTTATTTCTATTGTATGTGTGTGTTTGTGTATATGTGTGTACATAGGGGAGAGGGGCTGGGCATTGTCCTTGAGCATTTTTGCTCAACATTAGTACTCTACCACTTGAGCCACAATTCCATTTCTGGCTTTTTGGTGGTTAATTAGAGATAAGAGTCTCACTAATATTGCTGCCCAGGTTGGTGTTGGTTTTGAACTACAGTCCTGAGATCTCAGTATCCTGAGTAGCCAGGATTACAAGCATGACCATAAACACACACACACACACACACACACACACACACACACACACACAAAACACAACCCTTTCTTAAAAACATTTTGACAGTAGTAACTCACATTTGGACAAGCTACAAACAATGATCCTTCTCTGCATACTTCCCTCATACCTGGGATTGAAGGTGTGGGCCACTACACCTGTTTATTCTTTGAAATAGGGTCTCAACATTTTGTGTAGGCTTGCCCAGATCTATAGTCTTCTGATCTCTGATTCTCAAGTATACAGGGTTAGAGATGTAAATTACAGGCAGGGAGAGTGTATGCAGTATATTTTCTGTATAGGAAAAATGGGTTTCTAGTATCACCCATGGCTAATATTCTATATTTCAAAAATGCAATTAAGTGTCTTCCATTCTTTTGTGTCTTTTCTCAGACTGAGATTGTCAGGGGTCATTTTTTTTATTGCTACCTTCATTTTAGCTAATTTTCACTTCAATGCCTCAGATTATTTGGGCCACTTCTCCCTCTGGAAGTGTGATTTAATCACATTATCATGAAGTGTGTGGCTCTGGGTATGTCTGGGCTTCTCTTTTAATGTCCGTCATAGTTTGTTCCATTTTGTAGAATCATAAAAAAAAATCATATGAAAGAAAAGAAGGACCAAATGTGAATTTTTACCCCTTATTATTAAGAACCATTCCTTCCTAGCCAAAATAATGACATTAATATTTAGCAATTACCTAACCTGGAAATTTTTAAAATTTGAAAATACATTTCTTTCTGACTGAAGCATGTTTTTCTGAAAAGTCAGATGATATTCCAACTGTGTGGAAAAATACAAAAGGATAAAGTTATTAAGGCTTTGATGAATTCCTTATTAATAATATTACTTTATAGTTACTAGTATTTCCAGTAGTAATTCTTGACATAGATTTCCAAACTCTTGTTGGGCATCATTTGATTAGGGTTCTTAATTACACACATTCTAGCATATCATTTAATTTCTATCTGAACATTTGAACTCACACAAAAGATTATAGCATGGTCCTTTCAGACCTCAACTAGGAAGACTTAAATAACCCATCTTTAGAGATTCTACCCCCTATTTATTACCTCTTTACTCTTAGATTCTTACCACAATCCTATCATGGTGAACTCACCTTTCCCTGAATCTTTCATTCCAATATGAAAGTCAACAACTTTTAGCTCATTGAATGGCTCTTAGGAATAATCTTATAAGTACATATCATACTCTCATATTTTATGATTAGAAATAACATTGTGTATACCCAATAAATAATCTCTCTAAAGACAGTTGTCCTATTGAATTTTAATCCTAATCATATTAAAAATCTCCTCAATTCTGTGTTAATAAAAACAGCTTGTGTCTGACATCTCCAAATAGCTTGTCAAGATTTTCTATCATTTTTACTCAATAAGATTCACAAATCTCTAAACTCCTGGTATGCAAAAAGTTCTTGATCTACCTTCGACCTTTCTTTTTATTTTATTTATTTTTGCCAGTTCTGAAGATTGAACTCAGGGCCAGGTACTGTTACTCAGCCTCTGTGTGCTCAAGGCTAGCACTCTACCACTTGACTACAGCACCACTTTCCACTTTTTCTGAGCAGCTCATTCAATATAAGAGGCTCATAGACTTTCTTGTTCTTAGCTGGCTTTAAACTGCGATCCTCAGTTCTCAGACTCCTGAGTAACTAGGATTCGAGTCATGACCCACTGACATCCAACTCAACCTTCCATTTTTAACTATTTCAGTAGAGGAGAACTGATTTTATTGATAAAATATGTCTCACCTATGGGAGAGGCCTTTCCCTGTCAAAGTCTCAAGATTAATGTTTCTCAAATTTCAATCTACAAGAGAATCATTTTGAGAAGTTTTAAAACCCCAAGTATTAACTATCACAACTGGGGCAGCTGATTCAATATACTTAGTCTAGAGCTATTATCTATTTCTATTATATTTATATATTTCTTTCTTCCTTTACTATTTATTTAGTTATTCAGATGTGAGCCATCAGCACCCAGTTTAGAATGTGTATTGCTCACATGTTCCCTAGTGATTTTGCCACTATAGAGTGCAGGCTTTGGCAATCACTGCTTTGGATGACAGTGACTGCTTTTCCTGGGCAAATAGTAGAAAATATTATAGACTGGTAACCAAAAAAACAAACTCACTTATGTCAAGGTAACTCCTCTACAGTTTTAAAGAGTTTTCATCATATTTTGAGGACCAAAAACATTCAACCCTAGGATTGCTTTCTAAGAGTCTAAAGCCCTTTTATACCTAATTGTAGCAGGTTTGCCTTTCATCCTATTTTCTCAACAATGGTGACGAGGTTTACATAGGCTATTTTATTTAATCTTCAAGATTATTTGAATTCCTGTCCTTTTTCTAGATGACTGATTTTTTTTTCCTCAGAGATTTGAAGTGACATTCATAAGGGTAAACACACTAATAAGTGGTTAGCAGAGACTCCAAACTCAACCATACTTTATCTGCAAGCCAAAATATCTAGCCAGTTTTCCCCAGTGGTTTTTTTTTAGTTTCCAGACATTATAGATTTAGTTTTATTTTATTTTCCTTTTATAGACACATCCATTTTAGAAATCTTTTAATATAAATGTCCTTTGGCTTGTTCTCAATTTTAGTCAGTGATAAAATAAAATGAACATTATGTAACTAATGGGAAAAACAAATTCGTGATTCTGTCTTGTACAAATGCCTTTCAGTGTTTAAGGTGAGTTTTTTGCCAGACACATGCATGCCTTCCCTTGCAGCCTCAGTGCAAGGAAATTGTTGTGAGAATAAAACAATATTAAAAATAAAGTCTGTCATTATATTGTCACTGAGTTTGGGTAGGTATTCTATGTTGCAGCTTTGCAATATAGGTGGATAAATTTCTGGGATTTCAGTTTGTTATTATTAGAGTTTAGCATTGTGTTCGGATGGATGATTTCTAAAAGCAAGAAAAATAATAAAAGAAAGAGGAGCAGGAGGGAAATGGAGATGAGAGAAAGGGAGGAGGAGGGAAGGAAAGGGAAGGGGTAGGAAAAAAAAGAAAGGAAGGGAAAGGAAAGGAAAGGGAAGGGAAAGAAATGGAAAGGAAGGGAAAAGATACCACCTTTTAAGATACCTTAGTTACCTCTAAGATACCTTTAGGTTCTTGCTCCTGCTAATGCAGGCCACAGAGCAAATAATCTATGGATAAAATCATTAGGGTCCCATACTCTTTGCTCTTCATCACAGAAAGGAAGACACAAAGGAAGATTGCCTTTGAGAGATTTTATGTGTCTAAAGAATGAAAATAAAAACACTGATTATTTTCTATTTCTGATGTTATGGAAAGAACATTGGGGGATCCAGAAGCTTGACATTTTTACTACCATGACTTGTTTTCAAAACCCTATTGTTGTTTTGATGACTATCATGACAGCCATTTTTGATCAGGACTTCTGTTAGAGTTTCTCAATTTGTAAGAATTCACATGAATTAGGTTAACATCAATTAAGTTCTTCTGAAAGAAGTTATCATAGAAATATAAATGTAAGAAAGATGCTGAATTGACATTTTGCAAGAAATATCAACTTACGTGAAAACTAATTACAGATATCTTTGATTTATTCACTAAGTAAATACCTGAATGGCTGTCACAATAGACTGGCATCCAATTAGCCTAGTCTCTGTTTTTATATTTTCAGAAAGCCTATGACTTTATATTTACTGGAACATATGCTTAGCTTATTCTCTTTAGGTAGACTGTTTCTCACATGTTTTGAAATCATTATTAGAGGAGTTTCACTAATAATTATTCAAAGGATAGTTTATTAGGGCAGTGCAGACATTAGTCTCAAATCCTCAAGTAGAATATACTTGGTAAAAAGTAAGTGTGAATGCTCCTCATTGAGGTTTTCTAAAGGAATATTATTCATGGGGAGTTACATTGCAATTTGTTTCTGCTACTTCAAATGATACAGTTTTGGGAGTGTGGTGATCACTATAAAACCCAGCAGCTGGAAAGTGATGGGTTAGCATTACAATTTTAAGACCTGCTTGCAAGAAAACATAGTAAATCTAGCAAAATCACAGAAAGGGATGATTAGTGTTCTAATGACCACAGTCTACATCGTATCTGCCCATGACAAATGGTCCTGCGTGTTCCCAGTAAGCTACATGGTCACTTTATTGAAGCATTCATATCTATCCAAAGGAAGAAACAATTACAAAAGCCTTTTAATTTTCCTTCATTACATGTCATTGGCTCAATTAACCACTATATATACACATGTATATATACAGTAAACTTTTAATAAATTACTGCTTTCTCATTTTTTTTGGCTTTCCTCAAGACTTATGGCTTTTAGTATTAATTTGTTTGCGATGCATAGCATTTCCTCTCCTTTTGCAACAGCATGCTCTCTTGACTCTGAACATTCTCTTTGCCCCATTTCAGTATTGCTTACTAACATTTGATATATTTTGCTTTTTTTTATTTTGCTGACAAAGTTGCATTGATGAAAGCTGACTTGCAAGGTAGATAGCCCTGTGTGTACAAAACAAGACTGAAACCCCAGACTACACAGTGGAAGCCTTAAAATAACATGTTTACAGTTTTGCATTTTTGTAGTATTTGTTATTCGGGTACAGATTTGATTTTTCCCCCTTCTTCTTAAACATTCTTCAAGAATGCTGTGCTCCTTTTGTGGCATCATTTGCATAAAGGCTTTCAGTCTTGATTCTGTTTGTTTAGTGATTGCCTTTAGTGCTTTGATCATACTTTTCCAGTTCTTTGTTTTACAGTGTTCTAGTTATGATCCTCTAGAAACAGACTCACATTTTTTTCACTTGTGTGTTTAATGGGGGCATGCCATTTATATGGAGTTTTTCACTTTATGTTTAATTGCATGAGATCGTTAAAGCATGTGAATCAATACTTGCCAACATACCTACCCAAAACACTTAGCAATCATAACTCTACCCATGGTTTTATGCAGAAAAGCTTCTCAAATCCTAGGATATTTTGCATAAGTTTTTTTTTATTATTTTGCCAGTCTTTATCTCAATCTCATGAAGTTATAATCTCCATTTCTCATGGTGTCTCTATTCATTGGTCAGAAGTTAAGAAGATCCACTCATTTTCTAAAATCCAACTGTGGTAGAGAATTATTAATGATGGAATGAGATTACCTGCTACCTCAATCATATTAGAAGCCTCTAGAGTGACATTTCCTATTTGATGGTTTCATTTATGGTTATATCACTGCCATGCACTTGAAATCTAAGAAAAAACTTCATGCTCCAGCTTTTCAGTTCCTAGTTTCAGGTGTGTGAAGTAGAACTTCCAAAACTAGTTTGGCCGTGTCATTTTAGGTGTTGGCAACTACTATGTGTGATCTGGCTCATGTCTAAAATGTTCCGGATTATACTTTTTAAAGAACCCAAGTTTGTTTTTCTATTTGGAATGTCTTCCCAGGGCCCAGCACAACCTGCCAAGAGGACTCATGTTCCAATCAGGGCGTGTGCCTGCAGCAGTGGGATGGCTTCAGCTGTGACTGCAGCATGACCTCCTTCAGTGGCCCACTGTGCAATGACCGTAAGTACCTGTCTGAGGACAGCCTGATACGCATGGCCTCTTCCCTCTACTCCTGGACACCTGGTGCTCTTCCCATTAACTCCGTGCTACCATAATGATGGTTCTTCAGGTGCCTACTGCTCGTGAGCTTTTAAAATGATTATTAATATTTGTTGCCTTGTTGGAAACCATGTTTTTTCATTTCTTATATATGGTAATTCTACCCTACTTTTGGAAACTTCAGGTTGCTTTATACTAAGTAATATTTAATTTTATAAGACTTTTTATCCTGAGGGCTGTAATTTCTGTGAATTCTTCTTTCTTCATCTCTTAAGATGACCCTTCCCATTTATTTCAGAGAAACAAGTTTAAGCTTTTTCTTCAAGTACTCTCTTCTCTTTTATCCACTCCAGTATCTTCACCTTTAGTCTCACCATATAAGCATGACAATGAAAGACAGTAATCCTATGATATTGTGAGATATCATGGTGCCTAATGTATATCATAGCAGAGAAAATATTGAGGTAAAATTCACTGGTATAGGGTAAAGTTCTGCTTCTGAACTTTCACATAGGTGCTAAGAATATTTCCTACCAAGTATTTCCTTCCACTGCATTGGAATTCCTAACAAAAGTGTCCAGCTCATACAGTGTGTGGCTTCTGTAGGAGCTACTACAGGATGAAGGGATGGAAGATATAGTGATTAAAGGCGTGGGTTTCACAACAAAGGCTTGAGTGTGGATTTAAGGAAAGTCAAAAGATTTTCTTTCTGACCTTTGTCTTAAGAGATTCGTTTCATGCCACTAGGTACACATACCACCAGGTTGAAAATAGGTTCCAATTAAAAAACGTATTCCATTCAACTCTACTATCATCATAGGAAAAACTGATGCCAGTTTCCTATCCAAACTATTGGTTACAAAAGTGCAGCAACCAATACATAGAAAAAAGTAAAAACACACTTGAAGAATTCATTTTTAAAATACATTTTATTTTAAAGATACTGAACAGAGGAGCCACAGTTACATGAGTAAGATAATGAGTACCTTTCCTATTGAGCATCGTTACCCTCTCCTTTGTTTTTCCCCTACTATCTCTTCCCTCCCCACCTCCTTTCAGGGCCATATCACCATCAAAGGAGAAATAGCTATTCTCCATGTTACCATTCTTCTTTCATAGAATTATAGTAAAGTTGAAGCAATAAACATATATTCCAACAACCATATATTTGCAAAAACTATATTTCTGCACACAAAATCACACTTATAAAACAATAGCATCATTTTGGAGTATATGAATAGCCAAGACTCAATCAGTACATACACACAAAGCAAAGAAATTTACAAAAATTACAGATCCTTGAATAACAATAGGTATAGTTGTCTAAGAGTAGGAACTTCCTGCCCTTGCTCCTACCCCGCAGAATAGGATGTAAACTTCTTTTCGGGACAATAAGACTGAAAACCTGTCAGGATTTTTATTATTGCAACATTTTAATCCAGAATACCATCCTGACAGATGCATTGACTACATGTGGTAGCAGAGAGGGCTTTTTTGGTATGAAAATATTTTTCATTTTGCTCAAGAACATTCTCTGCCAAACTATGCTTAATCTAGTTTCCATGTTTTACAAATAAGTTGCCGTTTGGCTCTGTCAAACTGTGTATCCTCATATACCAGTTAAATAAGAAGAATATTTAATTTCTGTATGGATGTGTTAGGCATAGTCTAAAGGAACATCAAGATCTAATCTTAAGTGTGAGGCTGGCTTCCACGTCTTTTCTGCAGAAAATTATTTGAATGCTGCTTCTCAGTGATCATTGTGAGGATGGTAATGACAAGGCTATTTGATAGGTTCTTGTAAAAAGGTAGATCCCATTCAATAACTGTGTGTCCTGATATGTCTCTTGCACAAATCAACAGTAAAATCACTTTGCAGAGCTCTCAGAATATGTGCATTTTGATTAAATGATTACCTCATACTGAGTTTTCTGGGAATATAAAATAGTTTCACGGTTAACATATTGAAATATTTTGGTGATGAGGATATGTTCATAAAATCAGTACTAAAAACTCAATCTTATTCTGTATCAATTATAATTTGTACAAGACATAATAGGTATTGTCATGAAAACTGGCACATTGTAGAAAGATGGTGATTAAAGTACCTTGCCACATTTTGCTCACTTTGAAACATGACCAAAGTGAGTCTTGCCTCCATACCTCTTTGTTTCTCTGTAAATTATGCAAATAGAATGGGTGTGATTCTTTGAATTTCAACAAGCTCCTTTTCTACAAAAAGGCTTATTTTTTAAACGTACTTTCTTTTTTTATTGTAAAATACTGTACAGAAGGGTTACAATCACATGGGCAAGATAATGAGTATATTTCTTATCAAGCATTGTAGCCTCCTCCTTTGTTTCCCCTTCCCATCCCAGCCTCCCCTCACCCCTCCCACCCAACCCTCCTCCCCCCACACCAAAGTTGTAAAGTTCATTTCTTGATGAATCTTTTTAGCCTTGATTTAGTTATTTAACCAAAAATTATGTGACAGCAGCCTCCAACTTTAGATGAAACAAACAAAAACAAGTAAGCAAATCATGAGAAACAAATCCTTTTAGTAGTCAAAAGAATGCATTAAAAATCAAAATCCCTACCCAAAATAGAATTTGTAAATGTCCTATGTCTGATAAGTTACAACGAGTGTGTTAGAGTAACTACAAAATCTTATTTATATTAGCCTGGAGATATAATTAACAATGGGAAGATGGGAATACTTTATAGCCTGTAAATGTAATCCTAGATAAATCATACTAATTAATTGAACTGAAAGGGATGCCTCAGAAAAAGAGGCATTTATACAAAGTGATTCCAAAGGATATTTCTGAAGATATGTACATGTGAGAAGTCCTTTCTTTCCTGGAAATTTGTTCTCTCTCTCTCTCTCTCTCTCTCTCTCTCTCTCTCTCTCTCTCTCTCTCTCTCTCTCTTGTGTGTGAGAGAGAGCCTGTATATGTGCATATGTGTGGGAGTGTTTGTCTCTCTCTCTCTTGTGTGTGAGAGAGAGCCTGTATATGTGCATATGTGTGGGAGTGTTTGTGTTTGTATGTGTGTATGTGATGTGTGAGAGGTGTATGTGTGTATTTGAGTGTGAATATGTGTGTATGTGTGTGAGTATGGGTGTGTGGGGGAGGGGCTATTACCATGTACTCAAATCTTTCCATATCATTACCAAAGTTTTAGGACCCTCACATCATATTATATCTGGTTCTGGTAGTAATGTCTTGGCTCCTTCCCACCATCTATTCTTCCTTCTTCCAGTCTCTCCTGTGCATCTGTTACAAGTTTTGTTCTCTCTGATTTAAATATCACCAGCATCTCCAGATTCTCTCAACTAAAAGCCATATTTTCTCTTCTCTTATTTCTATAGGACTTTGCTTACATTTTTAAAAATCAGTTGTCATGTTCTACATTAGAATTAATTTGCTTGATCATATCTTCTTATAAGACTATGTGCTTACTTCCTCAAGAAATAATACTCCTTTCTTTCTTTAAAGTTTCTGGCTGATGAGCCCAGTATATGTTTATAATTGATGATTAAAAAAAATAGTTCAGTGAACCAATGTTGATTGAAGGTGCAAACTTTGCAAAAAGATTTCCAGTTTGTCCTCAATGGCCTACCTTACTCTAGATGCATCACTCTGGAGCTGATAATCCTCCTGAGTCAGGCTGTAGCCTTCATTTCCATGCTTATCTATTGCAGAATGTAGTCCATATGGCATGTTAACTGCCAATTTTCCTACTCATGGCTTTCTGTATATTGCACTCTCCAATTTCCTCAACCTTGCATATGCTAATTTCTTCACCTGGGGAATTTTCAATCCACCTGGAATGCATTCTTCTTACTATTTCTGCTTGAAGCAATATCATTTGATTTTTCCATTTCTACTTAGACTGTTTCATCCTATGGAAATTTCCATGAGCCTCTGAGCTGACCAGAACCTTTCCTTCCAGTGAAATGTTGGGGCAATACTATGTTGCACTAATTCCTACTAATGTATGTTGTTGAGGTTTGTGAACCTTCTCTGGGGTTAGCTGTTTATGGAGTGTCACTATGTTCCAGCTCCATGTAAGGGTGTACATTTACTATGCAGCATGTACTTATCACCTCTTTGAGCCTGAGCATCCCTTCTTCTTGATCCAACCAGTGGGTTCTCAAATAATTCTTTTCTGCTTTTACCCGGTGGTCCATAATAGAATGTTACCATATTGGCTAATTTGATGTCATGTTGGAGAAGATGAATATAGTTATGATCACAGGAAAAATAGCGAACATAATAACATTGTCACATTACATTAGTATGGAAATGTAGTGTGCCAAATTACAGTTCAGCTTCAACAGTGTCTTTACCATAGGGAGTCATACATCATAGTGCTGTTACTTTGCTGCTATAACTTAGAAGGGTGTGGGTGCTGCTATTAAAAGGCTGTTTTCAGAATCTGAAACTTTGCCAAGGAAAAAAATTTCTCTGATTGAAATGTCTTGCATCTTTTGCATGAGAGACACAGATATTTACTCAAACAAGAATGAAATCCATTTGACTGAGACTTCTTACCATGACATCTTAAAAAATACTTTAAACTTTGTTGCTTTCTTCTTTTTTGTTTCAAAAAGAAAAATCCAATATGCAGTGTTATGAGCATTAAAGTCTGAAGTAATGGAAGTGAATCATAACCTCTATAATAATAACTTAGATCTGAACAACATTTCTCTCCCATTCATAACTGCTAGTACTATTAAACTGTGAACTGATTTGCTATGGCTGTCAGGTAGGGCTGCATATAATTTCAAAATTAACTGTGTCCACAACCAGATATTCCTTGTAAGTGTAATAAGTTTATTAACCTTGAGTCATTCAAAAATTTCTAAATTATAGCTCTTAAACCATTGAAAGCAATTCAGAAACAATATTTACTAGTATCACCTTAGAAAAACAATGGGGAAGGAGGGTTTGATTTGC